GCTGGAGCTCCAAGGAGAAGGAGAGGCAGCTTGCAGGCCCTGGAAAAGGGAAGCAGCAGAGAACCTGCCCGAGGCCTGAGACAGACAGGGCCGATCGGGGACACCCCAGGACAGGAGCCAGGAGGAATTGCCAAGAAGGACAGGCCGGACTCCGGCTGGACGCAGTATCACTGCTGCCCAGAGCTGCATGGGGCTGTGAGTACTGGGGCTTCTGACTCTGCATTGGGAACAAGGAGGGAGGTTGCTAGCTAGTTAAGTGGGGAGGTGGTCGCTCTGTCTTGCTTTGCAGAGAGCGGCAGAAAAGGGCACCGGAGGGGTTTGTTGGGGGAAAGTTCACTGGCGCCAAAGACGACCAGGAGCACCCAAGACTCACCACTGGACTGGAACTTTGCTCAGGACTCCTGAACTCTGTGTGCAGACACATTGCTCGGTGTCTGCCCTTCCAGACTGTGCTACCACTGGGCCTGTGGGGCCTTGGCTTGGATGCAGTCCTGTCTTACTGCTCCCCCTATATTTCCCCTTGTTTTTCTCCTCTCATCCCTCTGTAAATAAACATTTCCCTTGTTATATCCACTGTACTTTTCCTGTGGGTGTGTGGGTTCGTTCACTCTGGGGGGGTTGGAACAGGTGCCCCTGGGGTGGAAGGGATTTCTCCTGCTGCATTCCTGCACGCGCCATCTCTTGGCCAGAGCTGCCTGCAGAGCAGACTCCATCTTGGCCACAAGGGCGTTCAAGTTACACTTGGTGGCCTGTATGGGGACTTTGCAGTACACACAGTACACACAGTCTGGAGTTACCCTCCTTTTTTCTTACTCTCCCCCTCCCCCTTAGGAAAAAGATTTAAAGGGCCATGCTCTCTAAACCCCAAAGGGGTTACAGTTGTATATTATAGATTTATAGAAAGAGACCTTCTAAAAACGTTAAAATGTTTTACTGGCACGCGAAACCTTAAATTAGAGTGAATAAATGAAGACTCAACACACCACTTCTGAAAGGTTGCTGACCCCTGGGTTAAAGAGTTAACTTTATCTAAGTAAAAAAAGAAGCTAATTACACTTGATAAATAGACTGAACCATAAAATGTTATTTCTTTATTTTTTAAATAATATTCCTGTTGTCTTTCACCTCGCTCAGTATAAGTTTAATGTATTATAGCAGGGGTGCCTAGCCTACTGCCCACGGGCCGTACATAGTCCAGCAGAAGGCCCACGGCCTACTTCAACACAATATACTAATGGCCAATTCATTTACATTTTGTCGTTATGTTTGCATTATTTTAGTTTACAGAAGTGTGTAAATAGGTTGTTTCTATGAACAGTATTGTCTATCTAAATACATACAAAACAAGCTGAACTTAAAATATAAATCAATACTGGTCACTTTAAATCTTATTAATATACGTAGGTTATGCTTAGGCTTATGTGGCCCGCCTGTGTAATAAGGTTGGGCTCCACTGTATTATAGCTAAAGCTGGTCTGTATTGTTTCCAGAATACTAGTTTCCTTTGGCGCAACAATAAAGCATTTTGTAGTGCTGTTCATTATTAAAGAGAAAAAGATTTATACTGGATGACCATTAATATTTTATTAGGAGGAAAGTTCTCTTTTATTGTAACATATTTGCTTCTATTTGATAATATCACAGACTTGTCCTAAAATTTGTGAGAAAATGTATGGTTTCTTTAAAAGATGATTTTCATTTAACGACCCTAATTCAGGAAAGCACTCTTATTCATGAAGTGCTCTTAAGTATATGCTAAAATACTTTCCTGAATAGGGATGGAATTACGCTTGTGCTTTAATGCTTTCCTGAATCAGGGCCAAAAATTTGATGTCCAAAGAAAAGAGCACTATGGGCTGAATATAAAGACCATTGAAGTCAATGGAAAAACTCCACTGACTACAACGGGAGATGATTCAGGCCTTAAAAATACCACTTATGTGCAGGAATGAAAGGAAAGTCGTTTGATAGCACAGTACTTTCCTGATTAAAAGCAGTGCTACTTAAACAGAAGCCGCTGCATCAGATAGTTGAAATGCAATTGTCTTCTATTTAGTAAGCATAAATCATATGAACCATTATGTTTAATATCTGCTTCTGTTAAAAGCATTTAGAAAGCAAGTATCTATCCGTCTTTCTCCATCTAGTTACTTTAGTGCCGTGGCCCGTGGCGATATACCTCCAGTAAGGGAGCGATCGGAAAGGGTACCTTTGTCAAACTGGGCAGAACTCACTCCAGAGCTCTTAAAGGTCTTACACCAACGAGTAAGAAACATCTCATTTACTTTCTAGGGCAAATATATAGAGACAGAACATTTACATCCATATGCTATTTTGCTTCCTTAATGTTACAGATACTACATTTTCAGCCTGAAAATGTAGTATTTGCTTTCAATGTTATGTCTGCAAATATTCTAGTCAATGAATGCAAGTAAAATGTGTATGGAGAATACTAATATATTAGCTGGTATCTTTGAAAAAAAAATCACAGGTTTCTACCAATGAAGAATTGAGCAATAAGACCTTTAAAAATGTGACTCCTTGGCTAGATGCAACAGTATAAAATAGAATTTTCCTTGAATTGTACTCCCTTTGGTCCTGATTGGGCAACCTTTTTCAATTTGGTGAACACTTACTCACACAAGTAATGCCACTGTACTCAATGGGATTATTTGCATAAGTATTCATCAACACTAAAGGTTGCGCACTCAGGCTATATGTCCGTAAAATTGAAGTCCTGCAAGATGTAACAGAAATAATTTATTTCCTTAACTCATGCTGTTAATTATATCGAAATTTACAGCCTGGAATCATAACTGTCCTAAGTCTTCATTTCTATTTTCTATATGGATCAAATCTACAATGAGCTTTCTTAACCCTGCCTGCAAAACGTGTGTGTCAGACATCCAGTTGCTCCTGAAGGCTCTCTGACATCATCAGCTCTTCCCATAAATCCAATTCAAAGCCCAGACCATTTCAAAAGCAAAAGTCTAGAACAAATCTAAGTAAAGTGTCCCAGCTGGGCATCCTGCTCTGTTAGTGTAGATTCAGTATGGCAAGGCCTGAAGCTGAACTTCAGCACCCTCAGAGTGCCCATTGTGTCAAATACTCTGACATCAACACAGTTGTTATTTTGACATAGCACCCTGGTGATACTTACCACTGACCCAAAAGACTTTACCTCATGCCAAGCATAGTTCAAGGACTTTGTTAGGAGCCCATTCTGTTCTTTACATCTCTTCTGCTCTGTATTTGTTGGAGAAAATGTTCAAGCCCCTCAATGACTCTCCAGATTTCATAGTTAAAAAGGGTGGGGATGTTTGGGCTAATGAGATTTCAGTTTAAACTGGGAATGAAAGGAAAATGTATTTCTTTACCCGTGATGCATATTATTATGTATTTCTTTCCAGGTGAGTGGCAGACTGATAATCCATGTAGATGAACTGGCCCACATGTGGAAGGTGCTGAATCTCCCAACAGATTTATTTGAGAGTGTTATGAATGTTGGTCGTTTTACCGAAGAAATTGAATGGCTTAAGTTTTTAGCCCTGGCATGTAGCTCTCTTGGAGTTGTAAGTTTATCTACACTTTTTCCATTCACGTTTTTATATTCTTTACATAGCTGATCTTGATTTAGTGTTGTGATTGGAGGTTGAGCAATTGGCTATTTTACCCATGTCATGGACCAAACACACCTCCTGGCTTTGAGTTCAGCACACACCTTTCCTTATGGGATGAGGGAGTTATTTTGACAATCTGCCCTCAGAGGTCAAGGAACCAGAGCATTTATAGAAGGCTCTGCAAGAGAGTATTGCTCCTCCAACTGATCAATGTCATTGTAGGCTTTTATAACAGGATTTATTTTCTCTACCACTAATATAGGGGTACCTGGATCCTCTTTCCCAACTTCATTATAACAGCTCACATTGTTTTGCAGATGATTTGCAACAATAGGGGAAGACAGCTAGAGGCACAGCGGCAGAGTTATAGACTTTATCTGATTGTATCATAAAGAGTTTTCTAGACACATATGCCATAACTATGAGGGAAGGCAAAAAGAGGTTGTCTCCACCATAGCATCCACAATATTTTAGTCAATAGATTTGCTTTGGTTTATTCTGGCTCTCTGCACGGTGAGTCTAAATTCCTCCCAGTATGAGGAAATGTATAGTTCTTTTAAGAGAAAAATTATGCACATTTGGAGCAAATTCTCTGCTTTCATGGAGGAAGAACATCTTGTCACGCCACATAAATTTCACCTGTTGGTGCTGACTGAGATTCTAGAAGTGTTGGAGGGAACTTGGTACCACATCCTACGTTCTAGGTTCACATCTTTCCTATCTGGTGAAGACCAGAGGGGAGATATTAGGTCAAATGCTGATGGAGATTAGCAATCCCTGCCTTAAGGAGGTCAAGCTGCCACCTTCTCTCATGGCCTCAAGAAGCCATCATTTAATTTCGACAATCTAGTTGACTGCCATCTTGTATCTAGTCTTCCTTTTGTGGTTAAGACTATTCAAAATGTTGTGGGAACTATCACAGTATCTAGATAGATTTCTATGATTCTTGTTAGCTTGGATACTGTCACTTTCTTCAGCAAGGAAACTACATTGATTGATGATTTTCTCTAGTGATGGTTGAAAATCAAGTAACTATGCTGATATCATTAGATCTATCAGCTGTTTTCTATATTGTAGATCACAAGGTGTCATTGACTCACCTGTAGGTCCCAGGGAGTGTAGACAGGGTTTTTCTTTTTTCTCAGTGAGATTCCCATGGTGTAGTGTCAGGCAATCACTCATATTCCCTGAGGGTGCTTTTATGTGGGATACTGCAAAGCTCCATTTTGTTCCTACACCTATTAAAGTTTTATGAGGCCATTAGGAAGGTTAGCAGGAAACCATTGGTTATGGGGCCTTCAATATAGAATCATAGACTATCAGGGTTGGTAGGGACCTCAGGAGGTCATCTAGTCCAACCCCCTGCTCAAAGCAGGCCCAATCCCAGACAGATTTTTGCCCCAGATCCCTAAATGGTCCCCTGAAGGATTGTACTCACAACCCTGGATTTAGCAGGCCAATGCTCATATGCTGATTTCCCCAGCTTTATGGTGCAGTTGAAAGCCTTAACTTGGCTGAGATTGGAGCATGGATGTGAGCGAATTGGCTGAGTCTCAATCCAAAGAAAATAGATGGATGTTGGTGAATTTGGCATGAAACGGGAAGATATAGTGATGTTTATATCTGCCCCTGTGACTGAGTGTCCACCATTTTTCACCCAAGTTCAAAATTTGGAAGTCTAGCTAGATTCCCAGCTATAGCTGGATAATTAGGTATCAACAGCAGCCAGGGTAGTTGTCTTTCATTTGTGACTGGCCAGAAAGTTGTAACCCCTTCTCTCTAATTCAGAACTCACTTCCATGACTAATGATTTTGCCACCCCAAGATTAGATTTGATTACTGTAACATGCTCTACATGGGACTGTGTATTCAATGCATTTTAATTAAGCTGGTGCTGAATGAGGCAGCCTGCTTGTTAAGTGGGGTATTTCACTGCAAGCACATTGCAGTAGTACTTTGTCATCTGCACTGGTTGCATGTGGATTTCAGAGTGGCGTTTAAGGTGATAGTTTTGATCTATAAAACCCTACATGTCCTGGGACCTGCCTACTTGAGAGACCATCTGTCTCCCCCTACAATACTGCCACAGTTGACTTTAATGGAGGTGACCTGTTTGGTCTGTAACCCTCTTGGTTAAGAAGTGTTAGGAAGTGTTCCCCATGAGGGCCCCTTGACTTTGGAATTCATTTTCCTGCTGTGTCTGAAATAGCCCGCTTCTGTTGTCCTTCAGTGTATGCTCCAAAACTCATCATTTTAATAAGGCTTTAGGATAAGGGTTAATTCATGCAGGTTGATATCATGGTGTGGTAGGGGTTTCTTTAATGTCTTTGCTGTAATAGTTTAGATTCTTGTGTTTGTTATATGGTGGGGTTTCCTGCTGGATTTGTTATGATATGCAATTTAGGAAAATGTCAGGGGCTCTTAGGACCTAGGATAGGTGCCCTTTTAGATTCTTATAATTTGAAAGAGGCATTAATAAGTGTACATTTTTATTAACATTTATATTCTCAACATAGCTGCAATGGCTTAATGGGGCAGCGGAACATGTTGTGCTCTGTAAGCAAGTGGTTGCATGTTCAAATCCTATCTGATCTATTGCAGACGAGGTGAATGTATTCTTTAAGGCAAGCTTTTTTAAAAAACAGTGAGGGTAGTTAGCCATTGGAACAATATACCTAGGCATGTGGTGGATTCTCCATCACTTGCAATCTTTAACTCAAGATTAGATGCATTTCTAAAAGATATGCTATAGCTCAAACAGAAGTTATGGACTTGAAGCAGAAGTTCTAGGATGATCTTCTATGGCTTATAGTTAGCAGGTCAGACTAGATTATCATAATGGTCCCTTGTGGCTTTAAAATGTATTAATCTGCTCCTGAAACAATAAATATAACTCATTTTAAGCACTGTGTTAACTAAACCTTTACAAGTTTTACATCAGTGGTGCTTTTGTTCAATATGATCAGTCAGTATCACTAGCAACATTTGCTTCATAGTAAATCTTGAAAATCATTCCATTTAGAGATAATTGTATTTAGAAATCCTATTTTCTGTATTTCACTTCTCTTTTGTTTCATTAGGGACATTTGTATGAAAATGGGATATTTGTGCTTAGGCATTCATCTCTTCCTTCAGTTTATTCCTCAATTCAAGTCATAATATTCTAATTTTGACAGATTTAGGTTTTGTGCAGATAATTTTGATGTCACAGAAAATTTTGATTTCAGGTGAGCAACAAACAATTGGAGTCAATGAAGTCCTAGACAGTAAAGCTCCTGTTTTTATGCAAATGCCCCTACTAGTGAGAAACATTCACATCAGCAGAATTGTCTCTAAGTAAAAAGTTTTCCATGAGGTGCCAGTGATACTTCCATGAATCCAGTTAACAAAATACATGTGCATTAGTTTATTTCAAAGAAATAATGAGGGACCCTTTGTCAGTCTTAGAATAAGCATAGGGCTGGTCATTATACAATCAGTTGGCTCCATCTTGTGGGATTCAAGAGTCTTGCGACCTTCTGTGCAATGTATAATATTAATCCACTAACTGGCGGGGGGAGGAAACTATATTGTTAAAACTGTCAGCAGTGCATAAAGTTCAAAACATTGTGGCCCTTAATGATGCTGTCCTACAAATTAGATAATTCTATAAGATTAATGATCCCTAAACTGCTCATATAGTCCTAGTGAACACTCCTGTTAGGATCAGTGGGAACTAAAAGTGGGATTTTATTGACTTTAAGGAGATCAGAATTAGGCCACACTTTTAGAAAAAAACTCTAGTTGCATATTAGAATATCAGGATCAACCATTTGTATGCTTCCATATTCAACAAAAGGCTTTAACTGATAATCCTTCTTTATAGGATAATGATTGTGCCCATTTACTGCCTCCTGAGCACCCCCTCATGACTAGGGTTGCCTCTTTGGCCAGTCCACCTCTATTTTTCCCTTCATCTGGACCCTGTAAGAACTCAGTCTCCAGTAACCGTCTAAGCTCAAACTCTAATTCACTCTCCTGCAGTTCTCCTCAGGTTGGCACTAGAGTTTGTCAAATACAGAACTCAAAAGTCCAAAACCAAACAACATGTGTCAGTTCAACTTCCCTTCTTAAACTCCCACTCACAGGCTTTATCTGGCTAGTA